ATTCTATTTGTGACAAAGAATAAAAAATGCATTCAGAATTTTTATCTTTTCCTTAAAATGAAGCTAAAAGAGACAACAAATAGTTAAATTAGATAACAGTAAAATACTTACTAAAGTTGAAAAAATAATATTTTACTGTTATTAAAATTGTTTTTCATTTCGAAGATTTTTAATATAATAACGCGAATAATCAAATTTTCCATAAATAAATATACCCAATCTAGCGAGAAAAAATTCTTTTTTCACTTAAGTTGCAACCATTCTTAACAAATATTCCAACATAAAGAAGGAGGAATGGGACATCAAAGGATTGAGATGAAGATAAGTAGAAAAGAAGCAAAAACTATATTTACTTTTGAATAATGTAAATCTAATTTAAAAAAATTTTAAGCAAATATAAATATAACTACAAATAAGGCACTGAATTTTATATATGTGGAGTATTGTTGATTTAATCAATCCCTCTCAAAACAATTGATTTATTTGATTTAAATCAGTTGTTTTTTTAATATAAGTAATTTTTTTTTAAAGAACGGTAATTTAAGGGAAAATGATGTCTGTAATATACAAATAGAAACACAGAAATAAAATGAATAGAAGAAAGAAATGTAAGAAAAAACAAAATACGGGGGGGGGGAATATTTCTGCAAAATAGCTGAAAAATAATTTATCATAAAAGAAATAAATGAAGTATACATGAAAAAAATGTTAGATAAACTGTAACTAAAAAGAAACTCATCTACAAGAGAAGAATTATAAAAAAAATGGTAATTAGACAAAAATATGCCTTTAGAGCAACTACAAAAAAGAGGAAAACTTACAGAACATGTTAAAATTTTAACAACATTTTTATTTTAGATGGTGGGCGGGTGGGATACAAAAAAAAAAATTACAAATTTTCAATTGATTCTAAACTGAGTGATAATGTGAAAGTTAATTCAGCTTCTTTGTGCTAAATGTGAATATTTTTCTGAACATTTGTGCTAAATGTTAATATTTTTCTGAACATTTGTGCTAAATGTGAATATTTTTTTTGTACATTATGAGAAAGCATTATCATATTTTATTAATTACTAGAGATCTTGCATAAACATATGAAATTCAGTATCATCTGCGCATTTTTCTTCTTTGATGTTAATAATTCGAGGTATTTTAAATTACCTATTAGAGAAAATTTACAATAAATAAATAGATAATTTTTTCATGTCTGAAAAAATTGAAATACAGACTTTCTTAAAAAAATGTCTCCATTTCAAGCGAACTTCAACATTTCCCTGGTGACATAAACTTTTACATAAACGGTTGCTGAATCATGTCATCCTCCCGCAGAGGAAGTCTCTATTACTGGCAGATGGAGAAAGTCTTGGTTTCAAATGTCATAGCGTTATAATTGACCATTAAATGAGAGAACATAATTGACCATTAAATGAGAGATAAAAAATTTACGGGAAAACAATTTCTTTTTATTAATTTTATTTTAATTTTAAAACAATTCGAACCATGAAATTAAAATTACAGTTTCGAATTTTTGATTGCCAATTTGTGAAGTTTGGATAATTTGGACAAATACTATATACAGTGGTGGCCAAAAGTGTGGACACTTTTTGAAAGTTTCATGTTTTTCAACTTTGTGTGCTTGTATAATATATTAGTTTTCACTTAAATATAAACGTTTATATGACAAATTGAAGGTAATTTAATGTAGAATTTAATAATAAATACAGTATTACAATATCTGTATTACAANTTCTTGGCACTATGTGATTACGAAAGATGAACTCCAAACACTCGTTCACTTGATGAAAAGACGCCGTGAAGCTGTCTTAAGAAATAAGGGTTATCCTACTAAGTATTGATTGTGTAACTATCACTTTAAAAAAATGCAAATCTAAGATAGATCTGACTATTTGTTGCATAACTTTTTTTGTGCTACAGATATTGTAATACTGTATTTATTATTAAATTCTACATTAAATTACCTTCAATTTGATATATAAACGTTTGTATTTNTGATATGCATCGAACCATGAAATTAAAATTACAGTTTCGAATTTTTGATTGCCAATTTGTGAAGTTTGGATAATTTGGACAGAACTATATATGTTGTATATATATATATATATAAAACTGAGAAGTAAACTCCTGCGAACGAAACTAAAATTATTTTTGTTATGCTTTGAGCATTTTAAAATTTAATTTTAGATTCTTTTTTTTTTGTTAGAATGTTCTTACATTTTAGAATAATTAAGTAAGAATATTTAGAGTTTTTCAATAAAAATTCCATATCAAACAAAATTTAATTCTATTTAATTGTCTTTTTGAGATTTTAGTTCAAAATACAGGTAATCACATTACTGATCTAGAAAAAAAATACAATTACAATTTGTTGTAGAGCTGTTAGCGTGACATGAGAATGAAGTGTTCTAAGCTCAAGTTTATCCTTATTTTGAAAAATACTTGATAAATTTTTAAACTTTACATTAAATTTGTAATTTTCAGAATTTACTGAAAAGATTAATGTGTATTTCATTCAGGAAAGGTTCATTTTAAACTTTTAAAACTTGTAAAGTCTGTAATGTAGCCTAATTTACAAATTATTAAAATCAGGGGGCTGATATGGCGCTAATATAAAAATATGCTTATTGGGGCTTATATGAAAAGTGAGGGAACAATATAAGTGAGGACTGTTTGGTATTAACACGAAACTATGTTTTTAGGATTAATGTCAGGCACCATTTTAATATTTCATAATTTATTGGCAGAAAAATTGATAATTGTTTTAATTATAAGCACATGAACAGAATGAAAAGAAGTATTTCAGTCTTTATAATTAGTTTTTAGCATGAGAAGAAAATGACTGCCAAAGTTTAATTTTTGTCTCAAACTTCGGCAATATTCTTCTAAAATCCAGTTACTTCATTTACTTGATTTATTATTTTGCAATAATTATTGTTTCGCTTAAAATTTTATTTTAAAATATTTTAATAATGTTTTTAATATAGTTAAAAAAGTGATAAATAATATTTTCGCACTATTATCTAACCCAAATTACGAGTTGATAAATTTGAAAGATAATTTATAATTTTTTATAACTACTCTGGCAAATTTATATAAAGTTCCAAAACGTGATATAAAAATAAAAAATCACTTATCTTGCAGTAATTTTAAGCATTATTTGAAAAAAGATTCTTATGTATTTTAAGCTTGAAACCACTTAATAATTGGCGTTTTATATTAGACAATGCGTTGAAAATAATTTTAATCAAGGTTTTTTTAATCAAGGTTTCAATGTTTATAAATATTTTTTATTCATAAAAGGTACACAAAACAAAAATACGGACTACAGTATTTTTTATTCAGTTCAGATTCAAGAGCTGAAAAGTAACAGTTAAAGTTTACATTATTTGTTTCCTATTACCCCTATTGATTCAATTAGAGATACTATTTTCTCAAATATTTTATTTATTAAGCAGTAAAAGTTTGATTAGTTTTCAGTTATTTTATATTAATAATATGGTTTTATAACCGTCGTTGAACAGCTGAACCAATTTTATGGGTTTACGACTACTAATGTTCAACACCGTATCCTTGTAATTTTAAACCTAATCCAGAAGACAAAGGAACTCCTGGATCGAGTATTGGGAGAAATTTGCCTTCGTGGAGGACTTTTTGAAGGAGCTAACCCGCATTTGCGTTACATGGAGATGAAGACTACGAGAACCTCCCACGGTTAGCCTGACTGCAAGGGGACTCTAACCCATGATCCGTCTACCACTGAGGATATTTCACGTCAGCACTGTGGTCGGTGCAAGCCGGATGTGGAATTCGTATCGACTGGGATTCGAACCCGGTTCGCCTCATTGGAAGGCGAACGCTCTATCCCCTGAGCCCTCGCGGCTCTAATAATATGGTTGAAAAAAGTCTGTTTTGAAGTTAAAATGATACTTCTATTGCGTAACACAAAAATTAGATTTCAGTCATTCAGCACTCAGAATATAAAAAAGAAACTGTCTTGACTTACTGTAATGACTTTTAATACTATTCGTTGTGAATATTAATAGGTTCTATATCTACTGCGTGGTCATTAAATATTAAGTTTGACCTTATATTCACTACGAATAAGATTCCGCGCAGATAGATATCAGCATTTTAATTTTTATGATCTCTCTTGGAGTTTTTTGGACGTTAAAATGTAGACTGTTTCTGTGATATTATGTTTTAAATTTTGTGTATTTTTTGTAATTAAAGACCGAAACTATTTTGATATTTTGGGAGACAATAATAATTTTGGTTTTTTGAAAGCTTTCAAAAATGATCTGATTTATTTTTATGTAAAGTTTGCATTGACTAATATTTAAGATAAACATTAAAATGTTGGTACTTTTCCAAATAACATCAGTTTCTGACCTGAGGGAATGAAAGATCCTTTTTTTCCGAAGGTTATATTCTACATCGAATTGTTTCTTAAATTGTTTCCAGATTAACACTTCAAATTTGAGAATTTTCATTAGACAACTGCAAAGTACAGCGAATAATATTTCCTTTATGTGAATCGTTCATCTTCCGATTTTTACTCTACTTGAATTATTTTTTTAAATAATTATATGTAAGAAAATAATTTAATTCACACTTATATAAATTAAATTTTAACGTTCGATAACAACAAAATACACTAAATAATAGTATTCCCTATATGTGAATCGTAGTGCTCATCATCTGACATTTACTCTACTTAATTTTTTTAAAATTTTATGTATAAAAATAATTTAATTCTTATATTAAAGTTTAACATTTTATGCATAAATGTTTTTTTTAAAAAAGAAGGAAAGTTTTGATAATAATGTAAAACAGTAAGTATATTATTTAGTTAAACTATCTGTAATATGCTGTACCTTTATCACTGTTTTACCATTTCAGACAGTGCAAAACTTGTTGTTAATAATAATAATAAAAAAATGTTTTTCACTAAAAGTTTAAAAGAGCTTTCTTTGTATTTTTAGGTTGCTTGAACGCAAACCGTTTCAAGTCTGCTGTTGTGAGTTACCTTGATATGCATCATTCATTGATTACCAACTTGGATATATTAGAAAAAGTATTTAATTTTTTTTAAATATTTTTTTATTTCTATAAATTGTAAAGGGATTTTATTTAAAACCCATTCTGCATATTACATGAGCGGAAAAATGTTTTTTTTTCACGAAAAAGGTGACTAAGTAATATGTTTAGTTATATTTGAACTACATATGTCTATCACGAGAACTTCTCTATCATTACCCTAGCAGCTAAATAACTTGAGAACTTATTGGGCCAATATTCATCAATATTGACTCAACAAGGTTTTAAAGGGCCATTATTTTACCAATATGGAAATCTCCGATTCACCCGATATTTTATAGCCCCTATGCAGCCGATGTTTGTCCTATATAATGTTGTCAAATTCACCCGATATTTTATTCCCCTTATTTACCCAATATCGGCCCTATACAGATTTGTTAAGTTCACCCGATATTTTATAGCCGTTATTCAGCCAATATGAACCATTCAAAAAATTGTCCGATTGTCCCGATATTTTATAGCCGTTACTCGGCCAATATAGACCATAGACAAAATTGTATGATTCACCCGATATTTTAAATCCGTTATATAGTCAATGTGGGCCCTATATAGAATAGTTCGATTCTTCTAATACTTTCTAACCGTTATTTAGCCAATTTAGACCCTGATGATATGATACCCATCAATATAACTAGTGCTACTTTTACAATAAAATCAAACCGTGCTCTTCTTAACTCTATTTTCTACTTGTCAGAACTTATCATTTTGACCAAGGTGAAAATGTCCACTGGTGAAGATAAGCCACAGGGATGTGGAGTTTAGGTTAAGAGAGGCGTGCTATTTTTTTCTATTTTTTCCTCATTAAGAATATTCTTACTCTTGTTTCCAAAGCAGAGCAGTGAACAACCTCAGACTTTCAGTTGGGAGGAGTTCTACTGGTTACTGATACGTCAAAAATTGATTTACGAAATTTGTGGATTGAAAATTTTATTAAACTAAATATATTTATCGAACTCAACTACAGTAGATAAAAAATAATTAGCTTTTATAAGGTAATTTAAGAAATGAATGAACAAAAATAATATTGAAAATATATGAATTGATATTACCATTAGGAATATTTCAAAGTTATTATTTTTATTTTTGATTGTAGAAGAAAACAAGAGCTTTTCAATGTACTATCAGTAAAAAAAAACTTTTTTTTTTAAATTTTCAATGGCAAAAGAAAATGACAAACTCTTACAAAAACACTGAGCAAAAAGGTGATCAACAAGTAAGAGAAAAAAGTCACTATCTCATTAACAGGCACTCCAGTAGCGCCTCACCTCCTAGTCCCCACGCAGAGCCGAGCATCTCAATAGATGATTCCTGTCCATAAGTTCATTATTCGAGCATAAAGGGCAATTTGGGTCAGCGAGAATGCCGATGCGGCAGAGGTGGTTCGCCAGGCAATCATGGTCCACCGCAAGTCTGAATTCTGCAACCCTGTTCTAAGCCGTTCCTCCAACTTCTTGAAGAAGTACGAGAAGTGAGCAACGCTTTCCAGTTTTGTCTCATAAAATGTTCGATATAAGAGTTTTCCCGAATGAAAGGATCTTTAAGAGTGCTTGGCTGTTGAAAAAAAAAAAGAAGAAGAAAACGATGGTAGATTCACCTCCTAGTGGTGTACCCCGAAAACGTCTCGACGGCTAAGAGATCTACCAACTTCGGCATGCAGCCAAAGAAAAGAAAAATATTTAAAAAAAATGATCTGCATTATTATATTGAAAATGAATAATCTGAGACTTAAGAATATTCAGATCTCTGTACAGTGCGCAAAATAAAGAACTGACCACCCTGAAAAACTTTTGATCTAATGATCGGATCTTCACGTTCTAGGATTCAATCATAATGGTTCGAGGCCTCAAATATGTTAATTAATAAGTGCAGACGATATTTTAAGTTAATAAATCAGTTACAAAAACTTACTTTCTCTGAATAAGCATACCTTTTTTTTCGACGGATTCGGATTTCAGACCCTTAAAATATAGGGGGTAGTCGCCATCTGGAAATATTGATCCCCGAAGTTTGATCAGGAGAGCGGTCTAAAGTTCGAACCCCCTAATGTTAATTTTATTTTTTGCGTATATATGTATGTATGTATGTATATAAGCTTTATTTTCTTTTTTAGTCAATTAATGGTTTTATCATTGCCACAACATTTGCTGGAGTTGTTTTAATGTGCTCAAGGTATTCAGAAGAATACATTGGTTACCAAAATGTAAGTGTTATACATTTGTAGTTTCAATTTGAAAATTCAACTCTTAACATTTCACCTCGTGTTTAAATTTGTACTCTGAAATTCTGTTACCTGATGTATGTGTGGTTCATTCAGGTGAGTAAATTATTAATTGCTATAATTTTTACCAATTATTTTATGCAATGCTAGCTAAAAGCACATACCTCATACTTTATTAATTTTTTTCTTAGCAAGTTCTGCTAACAGATTAGTCAATTTATTTTTACGTATTTTTTATTTTATTTTACTTCATATCTGTAAGTTCGTATTATTTTCTCCTTTTTTCATTTCAAACTCATTTACAATTGCATTATTATTATTTTTTTAAGGCATCGGCGGATTATAAAAAGTAATTTTTATCTTAGGATTATTATCTTAGGCCTCTTTTTTTTTAATATCCGTCGTTGAACAGCCGACCCAATTTTGGGTTCACGACTACTAATGTTCAACTCCGTAGCCTTGTAATTTTGAACCAATCCAGAAGACAAGGAAACTCCTGGATCAGTACCCCCAGAGGTATTGATTTGTTCTGGGAACATGGAGGACTTTGAGACTCGACAGATTTAACGTGCATCAGTCACCATTTACCACACGGGGAGTCTTCGGCTGGCAGGGAGCGATGGGCTTTTAAGATTTTTAAGTTGCTCCTACCCCACTTCTGAAATTATTGAATGTATCTTTTAAAATTAATTTTCGATTTTGATTCGATGAGTATTTCTCATACACTTGACCGTTCCCATACTTTTGGAATACCCTGTTCTGTATAACACTTAAAAAATATGTCATGTGTAAAAATTCTATCATTAGATCAAAAGTTATTCTTGTCAATTGTCCTGCTTTTGGGAAGGGATTGGTAGAAAAATCGAAGAATACAAGTATTCAATTTCATTCAAAAATCAATAAAGGAAAAAAAAATATTTTTAGTCATTCTCTTTTCAGATCTGACTTTCGTCGTAAACACATTCAGAGATCCGAATCATACACCAACTCTTTACTTTTTCCTTGAATTACTTATATGAGACAATTTAACTTTCAGAAACTGATATCTCTTCAGCAATCAATCTTTTTTTCTCTTTCTTCCACAGATTGATCTTCTGGGGCATCACATTTCGAACTTCGTGCTCAGAAAAGAAAAAGATCTACTTATGAAAAAAATGAGAAATTTAATATCCAAATATAAGAATGGTAAGTCTTTATTTTTTCAATATTGAGTAGATGTCATCGAATTGAGTTTTTCATGCTATTTTAAGCTGTTAAGAATGAATTCACTTTGAAATTCTCAGTAAGAATTCTCACTTTGAATTGTTTTACATATTGCAATACTATACATTTTTGCATATCTAAAACGGGTATAGATTCAATACCCGTTTTAGATTGATCGACTTCTTAAAACTTAATGTCGCTCTTTTTTAAGATCTAAATTTTCATTTTTATATCTCATTTTATCTTTCGAAAAAGATTTCAGTTCGTCGGTGGCGTGCGTGCACGGGGTAAAAAAATTTAGAAACATTTGTAATCTAAAAAAAAAATCAATTCCTAATTTTAAATTCGTTTTTATGTTATGTTAAGATCAATAATTTAATTGTGAAAAATTTATTATTTCCAACAAAATGTACTTTATCGTAATATAAACAGAATTGCTTATTTGTAATATATAATTTTTTGTAAATAGGATGATTTTTTTAAAAATTTTAATGTCTCAAAACTTCATTCATAAATTTGAATGTTACAAATTTTGATTTTATTACAAAAATAATAGTAATAAATTTAAAGATTTAATATCCTTAGTCGTTGAATAGGGATGTCGTGCTTGCTGCCCTTGTCCAAGGCTTTGCCTCCCACCGCATTCGAGGACCACTGTAATTCATTCTTTGAAAACTATCTTTTAAAAAATAAATCAAGATTTATTATTGACTTATTTTAATTCATTCTTTAGAAAATGCTTTCAAGAATACATAATAAAAGACGAAGCACTTTATATAAATAAAAATTGTAAATTATTGAGTGATATTAATTATAGCGCTGTTATTTAAATGCCCCTGTTACTTTGACTTTTATAGGATCTTCAAATCCTCGTAATGTGGTTAGGGTACGTATGCAACAGCGACCATTACCTCGCTGCAGTGAGATGCGGTACAGAAAAATGTCTTTCTCTCTCTCCATACATTCTGGCGACGAAATGCCCCAAAGTACTGCTGCAACACTGAAAAAAAGCTTAAAGATCGGTAAAGTCTTTTTCATTTACTTCTTTTTATTTTGCAGATTATTTTTATGTTTATTAACACGTTGTCTGCCGCAGGCCTTTTACAGTGAAGTCTCCTTCAGGCCACGAGTACCGTTGTACGAAGCTAATTCCGCTAAGTACTCCCACCAATATTTTGATAATGCGAGTCTCTGGTGATCTAAAGAATAATTACTCGCTCCGTTTGTTTCCATGGTATTATGTCTCTATATTTGTGTCCGTGGCTTCGCATCTGTTTCTCATCTCCCCACATTACACGATCAGTTTGAATCTTTGCCGAGTAAAGAGGAGTATAACTTAAAATCTTTACCCTATTTCGTTGAAAATTCGAAAGGAAAAATAGAAAACTTATTTCTTAGTGAGTCAAATAGCAGTGAACAAGAACGCTTTTACGAGACTCACAATAATTTTCTTAATAAATCATTTTTGTATTACTTTTGCAACAATTCAATAGTTTTGTTACTTCCAGTGAAATATCTTTTCAAATACGAACGAATATCCTTCGCATGTAGTAAAATAAGCGTCGCCCCAATTCGTGTGACATGGCCCTATCAGAAACTTTGCTGTCACCCGAATACGGGTGACACGGCCATCAACGTGTTAAAGTATCTCTAACCTCTTCGTTCAATTACCACTTTAATCTAATATTTATTAATGTAATTTGAAAATTAGTAAGCTTTCAAGAGAATAGGTTAGCTGTTAATTTTCGCTTAATTCTAATAGTTTATAAAAACATAAATTTTTTGCTTAAAATATTATTTCTTTTCAGCGTCAACTATTAGGTTTATCTTTTGTTCTAAACCTATTTATTTTTTAAAACTGTTTTGTACTTTGCTTCATTGTTTACGGTATCAGTTTTTGTTTCATTGAGTTATGAGATAAATACATAAAATGAAGCATCATAATATAATTAAGTATTAGATATTTTGTAGAATTATTTAAGAAAGTTTTGTTGCATTTATTAGTTTTATAGAACGTGTATTATATTACTTATAGTAAGACCAGTTCATAAAGAAATATATTTTATCTAAATTTTTTTTCCTTCTAACTAGCTAGACTTTGCCACCTACTCGTTATCGCTCGCTAACCCCTGAAAATTCGTGTCTAGTTCTATGAAAATCACTTCGTTGGTTCACTTTACCTTAGTCTTGTTTATTATCTCAGTTTTTATAACTTAATTTTTTCTGCATTTTATTTGAAATATATTAGAGAGCAGTTCAAAAATTGTTACCAATTCTTGAATTAATTCTCTTTAATGCACGAGAATATAGTAATTAAACATCGTTTATAAGTTGAAATAAATTGAATTCTTGAAAATGTATTTTCATTGTTTTTGAATTTAAATTCCACTCATTCAATCTATACATAAATAATAACTGTTATAAATAAATGACAATTCTGTTAGTACTATTCAAGCACATTTCTTCTGTTATTCATAGGACTACACAGAGATTTTGGTGAAAGTGCTATAATATTAATATTTGCCGAACCTGTGCAATTAGAGCCAGCCATTGATGTGCAATACTTAGAACAAAAAGACTGTTACTTCACAATACACGGTACTCAAGGCGAAATTATTTTTGCTGATCACAGGTATTTATTTTACATTCATGATTTTATTTAAAGTTTTATGCCTTTTGTTTATTCATATCTTGTTATGAGACTAATTTTCGTAATTGTTTTAGAACAATAAATTGAGACCTTTGGTTTTAATTTTATTCCTCTTTTTTTCTCTTTCTTAATTAATCTATGTTGCTGCGTCTTTGAACCTTACACTCATATTTATCATCACAGCAATAAGCTTATTCAAAACCACAGCAAGTCTATTAAAATTAAATGAAGTCAGTGCAGAAGTTGTCTTTTGTCAACTTAAAGTTTGTCTTAGTTTCGTAAAAATTTCGCCGTTTTTCAGAGTCTACTGAAGTAGGCAGCACTTGCCTCCCTTTCGTAGTAAGTCCTGGAAATCTTTCTGAGGCTACCTCTAAATACTAGAATTTTATTAAATCAAAATTGAACATTAATTTACATATTCTTTGTATGCAGCTAACTCGAATTTTAAGGATAGATCACTCAAACCTGGAATAATTTTGAATACTCAATCGTTATTAATAATTAAGTTGATCATTTGTTCTGGATTAAAACCTCGAGCAGTTTTGATTAAGTTTAATGCTGGCTGACAAAACGTAGAGCAAAAGCTTGCTTTTCACATGGTTCTATTCAATGTTTTCACAATTTATTCAACCACAATCCATTTCGGCGTACCGTCGGTCCGCAACGTATGATAGCGCCAATTATGTTACATATTTGATGCAATACTTCCGAGTCTGCATGTCCTTCTACTGAGCTGGGTTCAATGAGATTATTGCACTCTCATCATGTGCAACTCTACTGCATTCTCAATTTCGGGCTTCTTTTTCCACCCTCTGATATCGAACCGAAGAATCTCTTGAACATTTTATAATGGCTAATATAATCAAGAAAAGAGTTTGTCAGAGACTAGCTTTTTTTTTATCATGATCATGTAAAGTCTTTGAAAATTATTTTGCATTTTGTTAATGTATTTATATAGTGCTTAAAAATATTTTTGAGTGCTTAAAAGGTGCTTATTTTTTGCTAAAAGAGTTGGCTACGCACCCTGTAAAAGCATTTACATTCCTAAATGCTAGTTATTTTTCATATCTTTAGCAAAGATTTTGAAAATGTATGAAGCAGATTTGAAAAGGTTTAAAAAAATTGTTTTTTTAAAAGATTTATTTGAAGATGTTTGAAGTTTTTAATTTATGTTAAGTATTAGTTCAGTGTTCTGTTATAATACTAGCATTTTTAAATATCTTTAATCTAACATATTTTTGGCTATTCGATTTTGTCCTATCATGATAATGATGATCGAGGAAAGAATTCTGTACTACATCTTCCAAGAGAATGACAAAAAAAAAGAAAAATTAATGGCACTTTAGCCTATTTTTTATTGAAAAATTATTTAATTCAGAGCGCATCTTATTGCTGCATTTATGAAGTGGATACAGACCGAACTGGAAATGCGGATCCAAAGCCGAATTTCTCAATATTTTTTGGGTGAAAATAATAAATTAATTTATGCTTACATACACCTGGAAAAAAGTGAAAATGTGAAAAAAATTCGCAAACTCTTTTATAAATATTTCTAATTGTTATTTTTCAGAACTTCCATAATATCCGCGTCCATTGAAAATGTTTGTTTTGGTTTTATGGTCTAAGTTACGATGATTCCACTACGTTAGCGTTTTTAACTTACTGATTTTTAGAAAATCTCTTATTTTCATTCACGTAAGTTTGATATTTTATTACGGAAGCATGCGTATTTTACCTAAATTAAATATTTCATCCTCTCTTGATGCACAATTACTTCAAGTTTTACGTACGGGAATGTAACATATGAGTGCAAAATCTCCCTAATACATATTAGGTTTATTTAATACTCATATTTAAATGCAGGTAATTTCAATTAGATTAAGAATTTAATACTTTCTTTCCAGTTTTTTTTACCGTACTAGAGAACTTTTAGAAATGGGCAGAAGCACAAAACCACAAAATTAGTCTAGAAAAAGCACAAGCCATAGTCTTTCCGAAATTAAACAAGATCATTAGAAAACCAACCGTTAAACTGGGTGTACAGAGTATATCCATAATCCAAACCATAACTTACCTTGGGTTCCAACTTAACTGTCAGTTCTCCTGTTTGCCCCATTTGGATAAGCTTTATAATAAAATCTCTATCTTCTAAGCTAAACTGAACAGACTCTCTGGAGTTGACTGGGGTATGAACCCACACATTAAAAAATTCATTTTCCAAAATAGTACACAAAAATTAATCACTTATGGATCCGAAATCTGGAAAAAAGAACTCTTAACAAACTTAATAAAATCGAACGAATTCCTCTTCTCTCTATAACAAAAGCCTACAGGACAACCACGACAGATGCACTACAAGTTTTGGCCGGGACCATCCCATTAGATTTAATAATTAATACAGAAGAAAAATGCCGAATATTTATTTCCATAAAAGCAATGAAGATCCATACGTACCATTACCAGAGTTCCCATCAATACATCCAGCAGAATTAAAATCCATAAATTTTGACTACAATTTACCAACAAAAGATGGAATTGAGATATTCACGGCTAATTTATAATGGCGAATACAAAGTAGGATGTGCATTCTTAATATATGTCGATGGTCGTCTTGTAGAGTCTCGCAACTTCAGACTTACAGATTATTCAACAGTTTTCAAAGCAGAATTATGAGTGATACTTCAGTCACTCCTCTGGATACACCAAAATAATATCAATAGCGAAACAAACATCTATTCTGACTCACACTCCAGTCTTCAAGCCCTTAGCAACGCAAACACGAATGATTACCTAGTTCAAATGATAAAAAATACTTACAACAATATTACTAAATTCCACTGGATTAAAGCTCATAAAGGATGTGAGGGCAATGAGGAAGCTGACAGACTGGCCAAATTAGCGTATCAAAAATCAACAATAGGTCTATATGACATACCATCAAAACAAACAACAAGAACAGAACTTGTGAAGAATAACCTTTCATCATGGCAGCAAAGATGGGATAACAATAATACAAAGAGCCCACACACTTGCCAATTTGTCCCAAAAGTCAGTTAACGAAAAATCTACTCCAACTTCTATATCAATCAATTTCTAACTAACCATGGAGCCCAGGGTAGTTATCAGTCAAAAATGTTCGGGAAAGACCCGAACTCTAAAGTTTGCAAGAGTTAACACATACTTGCTGTCTGCTCAGTTTATGAGGATTTAAGAATTATATTTTTCTCGGAAAATATCAACTTTGATACCATTAAAAGAAACTGGAACCAAAAAAAAAAATAATAAACAAAGGAATCGAAGTAAAATACTTTTTGGAAAGAAAATTCAGAATTTGGGCCTAAACTGATCCTTCATAAGTATTCCCTGGGTGCCCCGTATGGGGGGGAGAGGGTTAAAACCGGGCTTTTTCCAGTTTTTATATACTGTTTCTTTCTTAGTTTTTGATGTATTACTGACCCAAACTTTAAAAAAAAAGTAATTATTTTATAAAAACAACAAGCAATTGTAATAATAACTGGAACAAATAAAATTTAATTTTTGTTCACATATTGGATAATATAATGTAGAGTGCCTAATTATGTGTTATAAGTGAATAAAGAGTAGCAGAAATGATGAATGCTGTGTTAACTTGGGCTGTCTTCACTTTCTATTCTTCAATATCTCTTGACTAACTCAATAAATTGAGGCATTAATAGTTCTGGAAAATGTTCAGATTGTCTTTTAAAATATAAGTTTATTCTTAAATGAACACAAATTAGTAAATACTAGTTGATGAGCTAGTGCTCTTAACAAGCTGTTGGTTAGATGAGTAGTGAAGTGAAACTTATTTAAAGTTGTACATAACATAACTAAACAGCGCCATCATGTGGCTAAAATAATAAACATTGAATTGGAAGATAACTCATAATAAAATCTATGCATTTTGCAACAAATTATAGTTATATTATTACGTCATACTGCTTCAAAATTGTTCAAAAGTGAAACATGTATGGGTGATTCTCACGAAACATGACAATTCACTGTCCCTTGCTCCAAGATCTAATACTATAATACTAAAATAACTTTTTTTTAAAAAAAAATTAATAAATAGCATTGCTGTTAGCATTTTAAAACGACTTTGCACTAGCATTGACTGTTTTGTATACTTCAAAAATTTAATTGAATATCAAAATGTCATTTTCCTGGCATGTCTCAAACAATATTTCCAATAATAACTAGCTTCAAAATTTCCCATACATTTTTCAAAATCTAATTTTTTTTTATCTTATCCTATGTAAGCATTTCTAGAATATACGCAGAGGGTATTGTTTACTAAAACTTCGTTTAAAATAACGAATTTCTGTCAATAATTTGTTTGTCCCATAAAAATCTGTCCTTTTAATGGCTACTTTTATTTAGTGATTTATAACCAAAATAGATAGCGCCAGGAATCAATATCTTATGTCAATAGATTGATTAGATACCATCCTATCTGAACATGTCTTGTTGCATGAATAAAGAACCAATTTTCTGGCTCAAAATCTATTACAAAAAATTTTTCTAGGTGAGTAGGTTTTTATGCTGGCATTTTCCTGGCTTCTTGAAATCATTAATAGCAAAAACTACATAGATTTATCTGAGTTATTTTAAGAAATACTGTTGTTTTCTGCAGAATATAAACGTCTTCGGCCAAAATATTAAATTAAAGTTATATGCTATAAAATGGCGAATTTGTCATTATCCTGGCTGTCATTTTCCTGGCTTATGAATGCCAGGACATTGAAGTGTTACCAGAAATTCTTTTTAACTGCTAATACTCTAAAGAGGGAAAACAAATATTAACCTAATACCAAGTTTATGTATGATTGTAATATGCTTGGATGTAATCGAAGTTATTTATTTATTTAATGATAGATTATTATACACAATTTTATTCTGTACATATCAGCAACAAAAATTTTTTTGTTTCTTTCTACAGTGGATAAAAAGAATTAATTTAAGCAATTTATCGTCCATCTAACATAAAGGCTTAAGTTGAGTTACTTACTATTAACTTAAAATGACTGTTTTTTAAACTTCTAAGGTAATATGTCATTTTCCTGGCATTCAAGATTTGGTGAATTTCTATTTTTTTCTCTCGAGCAAATGTCAATAAACTACACTGCTGTCTATAAGATATTAATAAGTGTAGCTAAAGAGGTATATAAAAAAATTTTTAGATTATTTTGAAGACTTTAAATTTGAAGAAATTTTTTGGTCCGAATTGTCATGTTTCGTGAGAATCACCCATATATCGCTTAACAGTTACCTCTTATGACAAAGTTACGCTCGATTTTCGCTTTGAAAGTTTTCGTTAGCAAATTTGTTATTAATCTAGTTTTACTGTTAAATTGATATATTTAATTATAAAAACGATCATAAATAAGCAATAAAAATTTTATTAGCAGTATGTCGAAATAATTTCTTAGTAGCTATTACATCATAGCAGTATTTAGCTCTGCTTTGTCCCCCCCCCCTTTCTCGGTTAAAGGGAGGCAAAACTTTCTCTAAAGTTGCCCAAATTATTGATCTTTAAATATGGAAGTGTACTTTGCGAAATTTTCTTGTCGGAACAACTTGGCAAGAAAACTCACATTTTAGCAACAAAATTAACAGATTATTTGGCATACAATAGCGTAAACAACTTTATAAAAGTACTAACTGTATTTATTATAAATTTTAGAATTTAATTATTTCTCAAAATATTTGGATATTTAACATTAGTTTTGCACGTAAAAGATATTTTCAATAATTAAAATTAATTTTAAAAGCAAGAAAAAAATGATTTGTCGATAACTTCATTTTAAAATTACTAGGAAATGTTAGTTTCGCTTCGTGTGAATAAATTTTGAATCTAACCAACTAGACATAGGTTTATGTCTAATAAGACTAATATTTTTTTATTCTTGAATCTGGATTTTACGAAGAAACACTTTGGGTATCTTCCTTGTCAGCACAACAACATAGTTTCAAAATATGTTCAAGTTTAATATTAAATTCAAAATTTTTTTTAAAATTTTTATTTTATACATGAAGTCTTGAAAAAATATTATATATGTCTTTTTTATTTATTTATTTAGAATATCTATTATGACTGGTTATATGCCTCGAGATGTTTTGGGAAATTCAGCTTATCAGTATATTCATAGTTCAGATGTGCCAATAGCTCTCTTTGCACAAAAAGCTAGTAAGTTATCCGTTTCAATTCTTCCAATTAACAACACATCTCTTATGTATTCTCCTATCTAACATTTTTCGATTTAAAGGGTTTTTTTTTAATTAAACTAACACTGGATACACACTGTATTTCTATAAATATTTCGTGTTTATTTTCTTTTTCATTAGCTAAAACTACAAGTGTGGCATAATTTTGCTGCACTGAAGTGACGTCACAATTCCGATATTATTCTGATGAAATACATAAAACAGGAAAAAAATATTATTTAATCGTTTTCTTTCCTTAAAATTTTTTTTTAAACCAATTAAATGTTACCGCAATTCTTGCTCAATGCTCTTTTAGCTTTACCCCTATCAGGAAAATAGTTTTGATTGCTAGATGAAATTTATATTTTTTTGAAGAGGTTTGATTAGCTTATGCTATACGTTGAAGTTGTTAATGAACTCAAGTTAGTTTAGATTCCATTTGTTGAAAAGGTTGGATCATAAGTTGAAGAAGTTCGATGAATTTACCATTCGTTGAAGATGATGTTGATTGGTGTAGTCGTCCATATATTATTCTTGTGTGATGTAGGCCAGCAATTATTTAACAAAAATCATAAATTGCTTAATAAAAAGAATCAGATTATAATAAATAAAAATGTTTTATTTTTCAAATTTATGTGTAATCATATGAAGCTCCAAAGTAAAAAAAATGATTCATACATATTTAATAAATTTAGAAAATGGCACTGATGGTGCGACTGCAGGACCAAGTCCCACAAGACACCTCCGTCTATCAAGAAATCAAAAATGCAAGTGTAATGCGTGCGTTGAAATAGTTTTCGCCAACAAAAGTTAAGGAATCCATGTATTGGCTATTAATTGACTCAATTTAATGCCAAGGTTGTTTTTTCTTAGCTTTCCGCATTCAAATGTGTTGACGGAAAGGAAAACGGGAGAAATTATAACGAATTTTAATGAAATCAAAACATTGGCAACCCTATAACGGTTTTCGAATTCTATGCTAATGTGTTGGGCAGAAGTGCAGGGAATCTCTGAAAATAGATTTTATTCTGCACTCAATTCAAGGTTGTGGTATAAAAAAGATTACAGATTTATATTAATAATTTTTATTTATTGAAAAAGGATTTTTTTTAAATGATAGGAAATATGTTACGCAAATTTCAGCGTGACAACCCCAAAGAAGTATATAAAAAATTTCCACTCTAGTGCCAGAGCAACACTAATTAGCCAAATGTGAACACTACCCGTTTGCTATTTTTTTTTCGATGAAGAGATTACCGAATGTATATATAGAGAGATGTATACGAGGGTAGATCAAATGTAAAGGAAAATTTTTTTAATAACTATACATTAAAATATTCCTTACAAAAAATATACAAATCTAATTTTTCTGCATAACTATTGTGAACTTCTACGCACTCTTTCCAACGCTTTGGAAGTTGTTTAACCCCGGAAAGAAGTAGGGCATGAAATTAACCAACTGTGCACAAAATCTTCTACCTCTTCACATGGAAGCCGGGGTGGGAGGCCTCTGTGATCTCAAGATTTTCACTATTCCACAAATTTTGTCTGGCTATTCGGCCTTTTTACAAAATTTCGTTTTCTCTTCTCTTTTTTTTTTCAAATAAGATTAGTTAATATTACACCTTTATTTACCTTTTTTAAATAGTGGTGAAAAAAATATGCTCAAGTATCATTTAAGGCATATTGCCATTGAAAAGCCCTTTTTTCAATTACTCTATAACAAGTTTCATCAGATACTGAGATATAAGATGCCATCGCATCAATGAACTCACTCGTGTTTTTTTTTTTTAAGTGATGAATCATTTATCTAAGTATAAATGAACATTCTAATCTCAAAATGTAATTGATCTGAAATTAATTAATTAATTTCAATTAATGCGGTAATTTGTCGTCAAATTTAAAGATATATATATTTTTTTTTTTGCGCTGCGTAATTTAGTTTAATGAAACCTATTAGCAAATGAATAACTTTTTTTTTACTGTTACGTAAGTCTATGAGTGTGTAACTCGGCTCTTTGTTTAAATTTTGAATTAGTTTTCTTTTAAGTAATAAAATAGTTTTTATTTGAGATTCGTCGAATTAAAACTAATTGCAATAAAATTATAATTTCTTTTGCAGTTTCATACTTTTATAACAGAAGATTAAATTGAAAAAGAAACTGTTAATTATTTTTTAAAATTTCGATAGTTCCGGAGTAATTAAATTTTACAAGTTTTGATGTTTTTCATATAAATTTGTACAGTTAACAAAGACACGCGCATTTTTTTAAAATGTCTTTTGAACACAATGATTCAAATATTCTCCTTTCATGTAAAATAAATTGAGATTATTTGAATGAGGTGGCTCGATTTTTAGGTCTATTTACTACTTTATTCGAAGCGATATATGCCGATTACCATGAAAACATTGTTCCTGGGCGAGAAGCCATGAAAACCTGGGCTAGCCCATTGGTATAGATGAAGGGTGATGGTCATAATGTAATGGCTCTTCGGTGTATATACGTAACATGACACCAAAATTAAAGAGAAAATTTGATCAGATATAAAAAAAGTATAGATATTAATATATGAGTCACCATTTGTTGTTACGCCATTCTGTTAGATTGAGTGAAATTTCAAAATGGCCTTCTTTTTGTAACTTTGTCCAAAAAATTTGAAAAATTATTTAGTCGTTTTTGATTAAATACTTTTTTACAAAAAAATCCATTCAAATCCATTTTTCATTTATCCCCAAAAAGCACATAGTCTATTATAAATTGAAAGAGCCATGTGATTTTTGATGACTGTAAAAATGGAGGAAAAAAATTATGGTAGGTATTTAAAAAAATAATTACAATTTATTTAATTCCGCAGTGTTTGTAAGCAGTGATGGAACTGGAATAATAACTTACAGACTTCGAATTCGTACCTCAACTTACATATATCTGCAAACCAAGGGCCAGATTAGATATAAGGACTCAACAAAGGAAGTTCGCCAATTTATCTGTTGCAACATTTTGTTAAGGTAATATTTTTTTCGTTGCAATGATGCATAATGTTACAATAAAGCAGTAGCTCATATGTAATTTTTGTAAAGAATCGAATATTGTTTATATCAAATAGCTATACAGAGTTTAACAAAATTATAAGACCACTGCAGCTTTTGTGACTTGTATTATAAGTTATATAAATTTTCCGGAATTAATTTAAATAAATGAGATTGAATGAAAAGCAAAATATCTGTATTTAATTTTTTATAGACATATTTAAATATAAATATTTTGTCAACAGTACAATCAACATCTAATGAACAACAACAACAATTTTCACCCTTCAAATATCTGTTACAAAATAATAAGATCACTTGTTAAAAATGAATTTGTTTACTAAAGCCAAAAAGATGTTGAGCCACCATTTTTTCTGGATAACTACAGAGACTCGATTTTTACTCAATCAAGTTTGCAAGCAAAGTTTTAGGAATTTTGTCCCTTTCATTCATGATAGCTACTGCCTGTTCCTACACAGAATCATATCGGCGATTATTTGCATACACTTATCTAGTCAAATAGCCCCACAAGTTTTCTGTAGGATTAAGATCAGGACTATTGCATGGGTCAGCTTAGGAACGCTATTTTTAATTTATTAGGACACATCTGCACAAGGATTTTTAATTGATTAGGACACATGGTGCATTGTCTTGCTGAAATTACCAGTCTGACCCTCTTAGATGTGGACCATAAGATATAGGGTGTTAGTAAAGTAGTTTTTGATGTCCATTTTTCCAGAAATTCACTGCAGGCCGCATTTACCATCGTGCACCGTCACAGAGCCACCACCCATCTGCTTACCGAAGAAATCAGGAGGTTCTGTTCGCAATTCATGCCAATAGTAATTATTACCATCCTGGCCATCCAAATCAAACTTCTTTTTGCCGGAAAAAATGATATTTTTTCAAACAGCATCCCAGATCGTCATGACCTCCTTTGCTCATTTAAGCCTCTGTTCTTTTTGATGCTTTAACAGTCATGGCTTTCTTTTAAATTTTTGAAGAACAAAATTCGAATTTCATCTCAAAGTGCGCTAGGCTGTTGAATGTAAGATCGTTCTACTTGCCTATGCTGTGAAATTTTGCGAGTGAGTAGACACGTTCAGTTTCGTTGCAAGTTTGACAATGTGTCTATTATCACGAGCTGATAATTTACGCTTCCTAAAAGATCTTATATCTTTTTCATAACATTCCTTTTTGCTTAAAACATTATGAACATTTAAATAACTTACATATTTCACTTTTCAACTTTCCAGAGCCTTTAAAAAACCAAATTTTTAAACAAAAAAAGAAAAAAAAACTTCTGACTCAGATAATTCTTTTCACAAATAAATTAAATTCTCTTTTTCTTTATAGTATTATCGTTTGCGTTTTCTGTGATTCAAAGTTACAGTTTACATATGATTTCCAAAGAAAATTCAAAACTCAAACGCTTTTGAAAAAAGAAATAAGTAGTCTTATACTTATGTAACTCCGAAATTTTAAAAAAATTGTTTTTTGTGTAAAACTAACTCAAATTTTTTTTCTATTTTTGATTTATTTGAGAAAATATAACTGATTTCAGTTGCTTCATTATTTTAAAATTATTCATTTTATGCAGTGCACCATAAAAATAAGTGATATTTGGGGTGGTCTTATAATTTTGTAACATACTGTAATAGCATTATCTATATTATCTATACTGTCTTGTATATGCACTGTAATCACAAAATAAAAAAAAAGTAAACTTCCCTGCTTCAAATCGATTCATACTACCTAATCTGTGAAGTGTGTCTGTGCTGTCAATGGGAAATGCTGACCCCATAGCCACTTTCAAGGCATTGCTCACGAAATTGTATAAACCTTAACCTTCATTACACCAAAGTCTACCTCCTTTCCCTGAGAGTCACTACAGCTTTAGAGGAAGGGCGTGGGTTGAGTGTATATCTGTATATAATATCTATTAAATAATAACTATGATCAGATATTAATGTTCTTTCAAGATTGGGTATATTATTCTTAGCATTTCAGTTAAGATTATAACCATTTTTCAATCAATGAGTGGTTAAATATCGTATACTTATCCCTACTTTAAAGTGCAAGTCACTTTATAGTTGCAAAAACTGATGTATATTTCCCCATCTGGTTTCGGCATTATGCTTGAAAGTTTGGTGCTACTTCGGATTTCTTAGGCTTGTTAGGATTATAGAACTTTTCGGGGTATGCACAATGTCGTGTAACTTGTTAGACTATCTTATATTCTAGGAGCTATATTTTATAATATTATAACATATTTTTAGTAAGATCTTTTTTTTTAATCAATATCTGATGAATTATTATGAAGATTCTCATCAAAAGGTAAAATTCAAATTATCAGTTAATTGCCTTTAAATATTTTTTTAATTTCACTTTTTCTGTCATTGTCCTCGATAATGGTTTATCATATTTTGAAAGCGTGTTTCTCGTTTAATAACAGTTTTGCAGCTATTATTAAACGAGTAGTGCGTTTAATAATAGCTTGCATGTTTAGTTTCTAATAACTTTATTTTTTATATTATAAAAATATGTATTGAGTCCGGTAATTACAAAACATTCTGACTTCAAGTGATGTTATTTGTTCTTGATTATTAAACTTTTTTATTCATAAATGCGTAATTTTTTTTTCTGTTTACAGTGATGAAGATGGTAGTCGAGAACTTAAAAAATTTCAAGATAGATATGCCCCACAGCTCAAAGAATCAAAACTGACACTTCAAGAAATTAAATCATCGACTAAATCATTAATCAAAGTTAATGGTGACAGCTGCGCCACCAGAAAATGTTCTACTCTAGTTGAGCATGAAAACGTGAAACAAAAAAGCAGCCTCCCAGTAACCAATGGTTCCATCTCTGATGCACCCATGGACATTGAGGAACCAAACACAACTGAAAGTACAAAAAATAGTAGTGATGTACACTTGAGCAAAATTAACTACAATGAAAACCGAAATCACTCGTTATCTTCAAGCTCTGAAATTTGTCCCCTGAGCTCTGATGATAATTCTCTCATTACATTTAGTGATGATGGTCAGGCACTTCAAATGATGAACTGCAATAAAACTGCATCATCAGAAACATTGAGTTGTAATGTACAATGTAATAGCACTCTTTCGAGTTTTGATCTCACCAGTCCTGTGCAATATATGTCATCTTCGAATGATGCTCCTGTTTCTTATGCTGAATCTGCAATTCAGGAGAATGATGATTTTCCTGTCATTTTAAATTCTACCTTTATTACATCAGACTTACTTTTAGCTCCCGATGATTATACTTACGATGCTGGAAAACCTTTTTTCCAGTCTCAAAAGTGTACTAGTTCCCAAGTTAATTGCACGCAACGCCATCTCCAGGAGAACGATGGCTCGTTTGATGTGTCCGACAGTATTGAAATGGTTCCAGGCGACTTTTTGACACCCCAAGGTTCACTTCAGAATTATGCGACCATCAACCCCGAGTCTTTGAACATTACTGATGAAACTTTCACAAGCTTTGAAAGTGGTCACGGAAATGTAAATAGTTATGTTAGTCATAATCATTTCACCACTTTCAATCCAAAAATTACTTTTGCTGGTGATAGCCAATCAACTTTGAACATGAGAGTAGTAAATGCTGCCATAAATTCGATTCCCGATAATAGCTCCCAAGAAAACATTGATTTAAGTTTTTTTGACCATTCTGTTGAAAACATGGCACTGCTTAGTGATTTTTTTTGAAAATGCCATGCCTTTTCCGAAGTCGAACCATACTGATAAGTTTCAAACTGAAACTGCAAACTCTATTTCTGGTACAGAAATGAACTGTGACAGTGGTGTTTTAAATGATACTAATTGTGCTGGCAAGCTTGGATTATTCACGCAAACTAGCTCAGAAATACATATCAGTAATAACGCACATTCACCCGAGAAATTGAATGATTGTTCACGTGATGTATACTTAACATCTGATAACGATAATTCTGTGGATTCTAATGGAATGCAAATGAGGAATTTTTATGCAGACCATTTTCAAACTCATGATTGGCAGATGAAGGAAGATAGCAGCTCCACCAAACAAGAGATTACCGATCACCTTTATAGCAAATTTCACACAAATGCAGCTAATGAAGGTAGAGTTTACAAAGTATCCAGAAAAGGATTGAATCATCTCCATCCCAGCATGAATTCACAATCTACATTAAATGACGCACAAAATGAATATGTAGCTGATTTGGATAATCAGTCAAGATCTTCCCTGTGTCCATCATTTCAGGAAAGCATGTTTGAAAATCTTTAGTGAACCGTAAGTTTATTTTTACTGTATTAATTGTAACTGTTACAGAGTGCGTAGCGTTTTTAGAAAATGCTTAAAGGTGCTTATTTTCGATTTTAATTTTTAAAAGCCCTTAAAGATGCTTTTTTCCAAAGTAAAAAGTTTTTAAAAAGTGCTTAATTTTTCCTCTTCTGAAATGTGATATTTTTCTTTACCATGTTGATTTTCGCCACATATTATGCAAAAAGACATTGTCTTATTCAACGTTTTCACAATTCATTTAACGCCAATCTATTTCAGCTTACCGTCAGTTTGTAGTGTAAGAAAACATTATTTGTTTTACATGTTTGATGAAATACTTGCGGGTCCGTACTTGCGTATTCTGAGCTGGATTCAGTGGGAAGGATTTTTGTCTCTCATGTGCAACTCTGCTGCATTTTGTAAGAGATTCTTAATTTCAGACTTCATTTTCCGACCTCCTTAATAGAATCGAAAAATATCTCGAATTTTCTCTGATTACGGGGACCAACTAAATGTCAATTTTTTTTCGCTATTAGCGATTTCGTCACTGGCAAGCAAATAAAACCATCAATTGTCAAAAACTTGCCAACCCTGTCTAATTATGATATTTTTTCAAAGTGCTTAAAATATTTTTGAGTGCTCTAAAAGTATTTTTTGTTGAAAAATTTGGCTACGCACCCTGTGTTATGACCGTAAAATCTATTTATTTTTATTCAATTTTAGTAGAAACTAATTTACTTTATCGGTATCTTTAAGTATACTTTAACAGTAGTTTTAAGTATCTTTTTTAAAGAGTAGGGAGAAAAAATTGTCTTCATTACTCGGAATTAATATCTTCTGCCACCACAAGGTGATAAGAATTGCAAAATGTCGAATACATTTTTTCAGCTGATTTTAGGTATTCGCTTATCGGTAATTTGATGCATTATCACAGTCAATGTCTGTTCAAATTTTAAATATTTTTGAAGTGTTATTTACTTTCCTCTCTTTGGCATCATGAGGGGGCTTCCGATAATAGTGATCTATTATATGTTTCCGTTTAGTGATCATCTCAACCCAAGCCTCCCCCCGCAAAAAATCTGATAGAAAATACTAAATCCAGTAAATATTTCTTTCTGAAAAAAATCAAAACCCTTCATAAAAGAAAAGAACGATCGAACAATATTCCGCCTCTAGAGATAAAAATTAGAGTTAATTTGATGTTTAGAACACCAGTGCGAATCCTTTTATAAAATCATTTGCAATAAATCAATTTGGCCTTAAATTTTTTTCCTGCCAATGTCATGAAGGTTAGTTGAAGAACTCTAAGAAATCGAAACGCGGATTCGATTTTTCTTCAGAAAATAAGCGATTATTTTTTTCCCATAATGCTCAGAAATCTAAAGAAAAACCACTTATTTGTAAATCGCGTCCTTTTAAAAGCACGGTTCTTTTAAAAAAAGTAAAAAAAAAAAATGGTAGCACATTATTCGGATTTATTTTGAACCCAATCCAGAAGACAAGAAAACTTCTAGATCAGTACCCCCAGAGGTATTGATTTGCTATGGGAACATAGGGGACTTTGCGCTCGACAGATTTAACGTGCATCAGTCACCATTTACTACACGGGGAGTCTTCTGCCGACCTGGGATCGAACCCACGAACTCTTGGACATGGGCCCAGTACCCTACCAACCAGGCTATCCCGGCCCTATTTATTTATTTTAAAAAAGCTGAAGTGATAGGTATCCAAAAGTAATATGTGATATTTACAAATGTGTACTACCACTGTTTTCATATAACTATATAGTGCACATTTTGTAGCTAGATGCTAATGAGGTTAAGTCAAATTACGATAGTGAAAAAATGACAATAAAAAACTTAAAATAAAATATGTTCTTCAAGTGGACTTAAAAGTATAAAAATCCATTTTTTTCGCTCATAAAACGAGAAACGTTGGCTGCATCGTTTTTTAAAAGACGAGAAGGGAATTTTTGTTGGCGATTTAAGTTTACTGTGAAATTGATACACTCTACATTTTTCGTTATATGTGTTTCAAAAATAGTTCCTTTTAAGTTCGCTTAAAAAACGTAAGTTTTTATTTAACTTTTTTATCTTTTTTTAATTTTGTATCTTAAAAAGTGTTCACGTCTGAAATAATTTGGAAAATTACGTCGGAACTCTTGCTTACAGCATTTTAAAAAATAACTGTAACTCATATTATCATTACACTCAAAGCTGCAGCTGAAACTTTTGCTCTCTAGTTGGCAAAAAAAGAGGATGAAATTTCCAATCACGAAAAATTTTATTTGGGAAATCATTTTGCTTGTCAGAAAGGGATTGAAACTTTTGGTAGTCGAACTTTTCCTTCATATTAAATTCCTTTTGGTGATAATATCGCAAAAAATCGATTTAAACATTTGATGTCAAACCACAGAAAACTCCAGTTGTCATTTAATAATTCTAGATTGTCGAAAAGTTTTCCAAATTTTTATTGATCTAGTTCCGTCGAGCGATAAAGTTATAATTAATTCTACTTGTAGCCAAAGCCGTGCTGTCGCCCGAAGCACTACGTAAATGGGGTGCCGCACGAGACCCAAATTTAATTTTTAATAAATTTATTTCCTACTTATTTAAAGTATTGTTTGCTTTAAAATATACTAATATGTTATCGTTTTAAATTTTTCTAAGTATAAGTTTTACTAAATATAGAGAGACGAGTGTGCTGCAAGAAAAAAAAAATTATTTGTTTGACATTGAATAGATTGAGTTCCGTATTTTCCAGGGAGATCTCTTCTGTAGAAATTTATGATTCGGGAACCATCCAACGAACAAGTCAATATTCTCAAAGCAAGAGAAAAACAGGCAGAGGAGGAGAATGAGCTCAAATTTTGTGTCAATTGAGCCTGTGTGTCAAACGTAATCTTAATATAATGTGAATTTGCTGATGCAAATCTTAAAATTTTTTGTAAGTATTAAGTTTTTTATCCGAATTTTTGCGGGATTTTTTTGTTGTTGAGAAATTTGGACTTTTTATAAACAAGACCAAAAGGTTTATTAGATAATTACCTTTTATTAAGGTTATAAGATAATTACCAAGAAATTTTAAGTTAACAACAAGAAACATATATACAGTCGGACTTCTATTTAACGAACTTCTATTTTGCGAATTTCTCTATTTTGCGATTTTTTTCGATGAACCAAGAACATTTTGGAAATTTCTTCATAAAATAACTTCCAAATAGTGAAGTGAATTTTCTATCTAACGAACTTTTCTTTGAGATCCACTTCAACTTTTTCCTAAAATATTTCAAACTTGTTAACGCATTTTATGGGAGAAATGACTTTGAATTGATTTTTGAAACCACTTAACTTTTAGAGAAAGCAGTAAAATCACTTTCCCATTTGGTTTGCATTTCAAACGAAAAAAAGAACGCATGTGGTAATAGGTATGTTTAAAATTACTTTTGCAATAAACGCAGCTGTAATTTTATACATAAATTTAGCTTTTTTTTAGTTGAAAATGTATGTATCATGATAGTGTAACGCTGGATAATGTTTTACTCTATTCTTGCTTTCCATGCAGATTAATCATTTAATATAACTATAACGACTGTCCGGATATTTTTTTCATTTATTTTAAACGTTTATTTTTATGATAGTTTCATACGCATTTTATTACGAGTACGCTTGTCGCTTCGTCATGAAAACTGACATCATGAACGGTTTTAGATACAGCGAGTGAATAAAGTAAAAATGAGAGATGAAAGAATATTAATCAATGGATCTGTAAATAGGTGAATTAATACAAGTCAGTAATAAATAGCAATGAATTTGTTTATGGCCAGATCAATGAAGAGAATTTTAGTGAATGAATGAGTTTAATAAAGGCATAATAATATTTATAAAGCAAGTTTTTTTCTTCTTCTCAAAATTGAGTTAATGGCGCCGTTTTCATTATCGCTGGCATTGCCTTTAGCGCTCAGATAATATTGAAAATTTGCATTGCATTGCATTTCATCATAGAACTCCAATTAAAATTCGTTGAACCAAATACGATTCTTTCTTTGTTTGCATAAAAAAAAATTAAAATTTTTTTCTTCGCATGTGCAACATGAAAGAACTACTTTAATTACTCATTCATATCTTACACAGTCTTAAACATTTTTGCTCAAATTTTAAAGCAATAATTTTGAAATTAATTTTAAATTGCTCCAAAAATTTTGTTTTATTTTATTCAATATGTTAAAATTTATAACAAAAAAACGCAAGACAAAAAAATTTGTTTTTTTTTAAATGTCTATCTCTGTAAATATTTAATCTAGTTTAACGAAAGTTTGTGCAATTATTGCATATAATAACCAAAATAATTGTTACAAGCTACAAATTTACTGCTCAAATTTTTGGCATATAGTGTTTAAAAGCATTATTTTCCGTTTGTAATTTATTGGCAGTCCTTTAAACCTCTAAAAGATTTCAACTTCAAGAAAGATTAAAAAATGTGTTTGTATAGAAGTGTTTCCTTTATTTTGTCCAACCCTTGCTGCAGTCATAGCATAAAAAATACGTAACCCTTAAAAGAACTTATCTGCAAGTTGTGGCGCGATTTATATTTTTTTTCCAACTACTCTTTCTCAATGACTTACGCTGTTTATTTGCTTTTTTTAAAAATAAAAAAAAAAAGCAAGCAAAGTGCAGGCATAAATATGTATTCCACTTCTGACACCACTTGTGAAAGAGTTCTGAGTTTAAACTGATAGAATGACCAACTTGAAGAATCATCATCATTGGAAAATAGAAGAAAAAAAATGGAAAATAGAAAAAAAGTTATTTTAAAAAAATAAATTATGTTTTTTCTATTTTCCAATGATGATGATTCATTGGAAAATATTCATTGTTGATGTTTCATTGTTTTTTAATTATTTTTTTTCTATTTTCCAATGATGATGATTCATTGGAAAATATTCGTTGTTGATGATTCATTGTTGTTTTAATTATTTTTTTTTTCTATTTTCCATTTTTTTTCTTCTGTTTTCCAATGATGATGATTTTCAATTATGACAAATTTTCATCCTTCAAAACAAAAAGCCCGTTTCGCACTGTCTTAAAAATATAATATATCATAAAAATTTAACTTTTTCCTTTTTGCATTAAACGATGCAGGTTGCATTTTTTTTTCATTTATTATTTTCGTTTTGATCAGCCTCGCTAAGTCTTATTGTTAAAATGTCCTGACATACACACATGCATGTATATAATATGAAAGTGTCATGGCGAAATAACGAAATATTAAGACATAAAGGAGTGAATAGAGAAAAAATGAATGTCATCACTAGAGTAAAATATTAGATGCAAAATTAAAATAAGATGAAATACCTGATTTCAAATCATAAACCTTTTACTTTCAGCTTGGATGTTATGAACTCGAAGAAACCACGGTGATAAAAATTTCACTTTGTCTGAAAGCTGAGAAAGTTGAACTGGAAAACTTCATACAAATATTGTAAGTGCCATAGTTGACTAAGTTGAACTGTTTCTAAGAAACACTAGTTGGTTTTTTTCAAAGAGATGGAAAGCATTTCTGTGGCTCTGAATTTTAGTCATTTCGCTCAAATGTGTTTTCATGTAATTCAAAATTCAAGTGTGTTTAAGGTTTATATATATAAATCCCAACA